AATGAATAAATAGTTCTTCTTCTTCCCTGCATTTAGCAGGTTTATTCTATCCGGTTCTGGTTCTGTTATTTTAGCTCCATAACATCAGCTTCTATCTCTGTTTATCTTTCTTGCATTCTCTGGTTTTGTAGTTCAATAAATTCAGCTTCTCTGTTAATTTCGTTTCAGTATTTTCAGCACTGCAATCTGTATCGTCAAGAATCAGCAAAACATTACATTAGCAACGAACCCATATCATTAATATGACTGCAAGTGGATTAAAAATGAGTTGATGTATTACCTGAAAGATGAGCATTTGGACACCTCCTTCAAGAAAAAGAGTTCTTCTGCCCCACTTATCAGCAAATGCGACAGATACTAAAGTTGCCAAGACATTCACGATGCCAGTAATAACAGCTGACATTAGAGAAGCATCGCTTCCAAATCCAATTGTTTTAAAGAGCACAGGGGCATAGAACATAACCACGTTGATTCCAGTAAGTTGTTGGAAGAAAGGGATCAAGATGGACATAACCAACTGAGGACGATAGCATCTCCTCTTCAAGATATTTTGCCACGGATTCTGCACTAGTCTTGCTTCATTCTTGGCAGCAAGAATATCAGTGAATTCAACATCAACGTTTTCAACTCCACGAATGCGCTTGAGCAGTGCTTTTGCCTCTTCTTCCTTTCCCCTATCCACAAGAGAGTTTGGGGTGTCGGAGAGGAAAAAGGATGAAATGATGATGATGATGGCAGGAACTCCAGCCAATCCAAGGCTGAGCCTCCATCCCCAGCCGCCTTCAATCTTAGCAAATAAATAGTTAAGCAGGTTGGCTACCAGAATTCCAATTGTGATCATCAGTTGGAAGCAACCGTTAAAAGTTCCACGATAATTGTATGGAGACATCTCTGATAGATAAAGAGGTACTGACTGCATAATTAATAGAATCAAACAGAAATTAGATGTGAATTATTCCAAGTTTTACATTAACAAGAAGATCAAACTCTGATACAAATTAACTAAGTTACCTGGTTAGCAAAGCCAACGCCAATGCCCAATAAAACACGGCCTATGATTAGCATATTGACATGCACTGCCGCAGCGTTGATGATGGCACCAACCAAGAAAATTATTCCACCAAGCATCATCGACTTTCTATGGCCAAATTTCTTGGTTATTGTTGATGCAAAAAAGGACGCTACAAGGGCAGCCAAGTAGAGCGAAGATGTAAAAAGTGTCAAAATCTGGCTGTCAAACTTGCAGTATTGATTAGTTGATGTATCATCCATCTGTTTATGGTAAACAGACGGAAAGAATTGCTCCAGAAAAGGCGCCATGGAAGTAACTCCACCTGCATCAAGAAAAACAAGATACTTAAACCAGAACTCTTCTTGAATAATCAAAACCATGAAAAAGAATTACAAGGCCAATTTGTATACCTGATATACCAATATCATAACCAAAAATCAATCCTCCCATGGCTGCGGCCGTTAATGTTAATACAACATACCACGTAAGTTTTCCAGGGTACTTTGTAGGATCATTATCCCGGCTGCCCCGGCTAAGTTCAATACTAACGCCACCCATCTCAGAAAAACAAAGAATCACGAGAAGAAGAGAAAGCAATGATGAAATTGTAATTAGGATTTGAACGTGCATTTGTATATATAGAAGTAGTTGAAGGGTGAAAAAGGCATGAGAGAGTGATACAGTTTGTTTAGTAGTCTAAAAAATTCACACTAGGATTCCGACAGGAATATGAACTCGTATAGGAAAACAATTCCATATTTGATCCTTATTTTTTTGGGTTTTTCCTAATAAAATTGTTCTTACAAGTCCTGGCATAATAGGGAATTAACCTTTTTTTAAGGTAGTTGATCTTATGTCGAAATCCAATTATCCAAGAAAGCCATCTTTACTCAATCTTATCTAATTTAAACCATTAATATTTCAATTTAATTTGAAATTGTTATCATAGGAAATTACTTATTTTTTTCACTGGACTTTGCTATAGGTTCCCATTTGCTTATCGAAATTTAAAATGTTACTCTTTGCTCACTGAACTTTGCTATATATTACTATTTGCTCATCGAAATTTAAAAGGTTACTCGTTGTTCACCCAAATTTGAATAAAGTTGCCTATTAATCACCTGTGCTATTTCCTTTTAGGAAAGTTTAGTGAGCAACAAGTAACTTTTTAAAGATTGAGAACTAGTAACCATAATAAAGTTCAGTGACCATTGATTAAATTAACTTCACAGGAAGTTAATTTAATCAATAACCAATTGAATTAGGAAATGGTTAGTTTCTATTATTTTGAAGCAAAAAAAAAAATTAGCAACGAAAATTTCCCGTCCCTAACTTTTTAGGGCTAGTCAATGAGAAAAAAATAATAATTACCGAATTTTGGATGGATTTTTTTTAATATTGAAATTAACATTGAAAATTCCATCAATAAATAATTTAAATAAAAACTAAAATAACTTGCAATACAAATGGAAATGAAATTTTTTTAAAAAAAAATTAAGTTAAAAAAAAATCATAATTTATGAAAATTTTTCATCGCTAACATTTTTAAAGATAAAAAAATAAAGACCCACCCTGTAATATAAGTAAAAAAGAAAAAGAAAAAGAAATCAGACTTTAACAAAACAATTAGCTACATAAATTGATTTTATTTAGGAGTAAATATATTATGAAAATGAGAGAAATAGAAAAAAGTAAAAAAATAAAAAATAAAAAATACAAAGAATGATGGTTGTTCTCTTGTCAATTTTCTGTATAAATAACGTGTCTTGCTTTCTCAAAAATTTTGTGCAAATGGACCCGTGTGAATATAGCTATAAATGGATCGGATATGGATCGAATCTGTCTAGAATCGATCCGATCCGATGAGAATAATTATCTTATCCAATAATCTAATGGATATTTGATTCTTAAACCCATATCCGATTTGCTATATTATCAGATATTCGATCCGATATCCTATTCGAAGCTATAGAAATTAGGAAAAGAAATCAATGTTGGAATTAACTTTTTTATTTTTTCTTTTCCAATTTTTCCAATTCTTAAATGGGTTTAATAATTATAAAATTTTCAACTTTTTTATGTTTTGAATTTGATAATTTTTTTATGTTTCCATTTATTTAATTTAGTGATAAATAACATGCCACAAATATATTTTACCGACTCAATTATTTATAACCAATCGGATCAGATTAACCTATATCGATATTTGATCCATTTAGTTAACGAATTATGAAATTTGAATTTTGATCGGGTTATTGGATTGAGACTCTAAATTCATCTCCCATACTTTTCATCGAATTCGGATTAAAATCCAATCCGTTGACAACCGTACGCGTCACGTGTTTCAAAACTTATAGCCAAGAATCTAACTTTTACTATTTACGCGTTCTTTCTTTTCATTTTCGTTGTTAGATAGACTACTAAAATCATCTATGATGAACTCAAACGCAACTCTCTTATTAAACCTTTGATGTAATTTGAACTTATAAGGATTATCATTATTTCTATTACAAATTAGAAATGCGGTGAGGATTAAAATTGAATTTTTAGTAAATTTTGATAAAAGTTAATGAGATGTGCAGTTAAAAAGTTTTGTGTCGTATAAAATGTGTGGTTAAAATTAATTGTTGACTTTGAGTTAGATTAAAATTTGAATTTTAATTTCTATCAAGCAGTTGCTTAATTTAAGTACATAAAAGTAGAAATGACATAACAGCGATCCAATCTCAATAAAACATGCTTTATTTGTTATGCATAAAATCAAAACACGACACGACACGACACATTCTTTATTTTAGGGGAGTGATTGCGCTACCTCTTTTAATAGAGTAAAAAAAAAAAAAATTCATGTAGTCAATTCAATATTTATTAAGAATAGTGCTTTATTTGCTATGCACAAAATCGCAATCATATAGGCTAGCCAATCCATGTTGAGTTACCATGCCTTAGTTTGATTATTAGGATAAGTCTTATTATTAATAAATTTTATAATCACGAATAGTGAATTGTATTTAAATATTATGTGGCTTATTCAATATCAATAAATGTTGTAGATGTTTCTAGTAGGTGCATCCTATGCACCTCCAATTTTACCCTTGAATCGATAAACACAAGTACAATTTTACCCTTTTTCTTGATCAAGAAAATTGGTCTTCGAAAAGGCTTTGTCAACTTTACCCTTTCTCTTGATCAAGAAAATTGGCCCTCGAAAAGGGTTTGTTTAAAGTAGCTCTGGAATAGGAGAAAGTGTGTGCAAATGTTGGGTACCCTTCAAATGTCCCATATAATTTGAACGAAAAATGAGATTTTCAAACACAAGCTATATAGCATATACAAGATCAGTATTTAGACTTTTTGGGACTAAATTTTTATTTTTACTTTAAAAAAAAATATATTATCTACTTTTAAATAGACCAATTTAGTTAAAAAAAAAAAATTAAAAAATTCAGGTATTACTCAAGTGACAAGGGTTGAAAGCAAAGCTGTGAAACGATTGGTTCATTTTCTTGAACATTAAAATCTTCTGACACTCCATACGTTCCTAGCCGATTGATAAGCATTACTTTTATACTTACATAGGATCTTTTGCAGGGTTTTTATTAATAAACCGGGATTGATTAATATTAATTATGGGTCCTTTATGTTTTAAGATGAAGCCTGAGCTTAAGATGCACAAAAGAAAATTATAGAGAGAAGAATTACGTGTTTTGAAGGGGACATGGAAGTTTCGAAGTTAAACTCCAGTCCTCAAAGGTCGAAGACGAAAATTTTCAATTAGAATAGTTTCACTCGAGAAATCAAGAACCACAAAAATCTTGCTCAGATCGGTCTATGTGGCCAATAGATTCCATTACGACACGGTCGAAGTCCATAGACAAATCCGACTATTGTTTGACGTGCTGGATTGGATGGGCTCAA